ATTATGATGATTTTGATGAATGATGATGCACCTAATGAGTTTATTATGAGGATGATATTGACGTGTGCATCATGTATTCATATGAATTCCGGACTTCGGTCTAGTGTTTGATTCTTGTGGCTTTAGTCCCATTGTGCGGATGTGAAGTATTTTGTTGTGCTCCGGTTCTTATGTAGAATCGATCCTATTGATGGGGATCTATGGAGGGTTGATGGCACATTGTCCATCAAATTTTGATGAATTGGTATCACATGCATGAGTCTTTTTGCATTTGCATTTATGTGACAATTTGGTGTAATTTATGATATTATGGGTTTTTGGTGTTTCCTTGATGATTATGATGATGTTGAATATAAAAATGATGTTATTTTATATATTGATTCCTATATTGATTATTATGAATGATTTTACTCGCCCTGCCTGTCTGAATGTTACCTCCACGTGGGTAACGTGCAGATGACCAGGTTTAGCCGTGAATGCCGTCGAGGACTTTTTGGAGTTTTTGACATTTTGGTTGACTTAAAGGGTCTTGCTCTAATAGTGTAACATCTGGTTGGGGTCATTGAGTTAAACCATGTTTTATTTATTTTTTAATATTTTGATTATGTTGTTGTGCGAGGAAAACTTTGGATTTGCCTTTTTGAGTTCCGCTACAATTTGAGCAATTTTTGAGTAATTTTGGGAAACCCATTGTTTACAGAGCATTAATTTTGATTTGAATTATTGAGAAATGTACGCCCTTTGAGGTGATTTTTATTATGCTTAAAATATTACTCTAATAAATGTGAATGATTTGCCATTATATTTTTGGGGTAGAAAAGAGTGTTACATGGTGCTTGAAACCCTCTTCCATATCTCCATTCGAGAGCTTCCATGTGGTGCTTGAAACCCTCTCCTATATCTCCATTCAAGATTCTTTCTTTTTCTTTCCACTGATGATGCTTAGGTGTCATTTTTTCATTCGTTACCGACAAATTCCCCTCACCTCTTTCATTCCACACCCTTCTTTTCCATTCCAATTTTTTTCTCACGAACCCTAATTCCGTTTCTCCGTTCTTCTTTCTCTCTAAAATCTTACCTTTAATCCACCATTAATTTTCACTGTTTCGACATATTTGTTCTTTTTTTTCCCAACAGATATTTATTTTTTCAACCATTTTCTTTTCACTTCTCCTCTCATCTTCATCGTATTCCCCTGATATCTTTTTGTCGTTTTCTTTGTTTCTTTTTCCCTCAACAATGGTAGAAGTTGATGTTTTCGTTGATAACACCGATCTTGAAAACAACCCCCCTTCACCAAACCCTACTCGCAACAACAATGTTTCATAAAACCATCATCCCCGACTTACTAGAAGCTATCAAACAGATATGTTAGACCCTTTTTTCATGCACTTACCCGATAACCCAGGACATGTTATCATTACTCCGGCCTTCGCTAACCAAAATTATCATACTTGGTCTCGATCCCTCAAAGTTGTTCTTCATTTTAAGAACAAATTAGGGTTCACCGATGGAACCCTAAATCTCCCACCTACCACTAAACGTAATTCCATGGCTTGGGATCGGTGCAACACCATGGTCATGGTCTGGATAACAAATTTCATCAGTTCTGAAATTGCTAAAAGTATTTTTCGGATGGAGATTGCACAAGAAATTTGGGATGAACTAAAAGAGCGATATCATCAAGGGGATATTTTCAGAATATCAGAGCTCCAAGAGGAAATTTATGCCATTCGTCAAGGTGATCAAAACATCACACAATAATTCACTATGTTAAAGAATATGTGGCAAGAACTTGATGATTTTCTCCCTTTTCCCACTTGTGTATGTGCCATCCCTTATTCTTGTTCTATGCTCACTATAATCAAAAGCTACAAAGACAATGGTCGCGTTATTCGGTTCTTAAAAGGGCTTAATGAGCAATATGTACCGGTTTGATCACATATAATTTTGATGCAACCTCTCCTTATAATAAACAAAGTTTTCTCTATGCTTATACAACAGGAACGCCAATACATTCCTTCCATTAAATCTGACAAACTCGCCGCTTAGTTCAACAAGGCTTCATTCAAACCTCACTCCCACGATAATACATCGAAACCCTATATCTCTGGACGAGGGAAAGGATTCAAAGGCTACTCCTACTGCAACAAATTGAGTCATATAATCGAAGTCTGTTTCAAAAAGCATGGTCTTCCTTCATACCTTAAGAAGATGAACCTTACTTAAGCTTCTGATGAATCTCCTGAATCTACTCTTGTAGAATCCTTCGCTTCTACTCCTTCCGACAGTGTTGCAGCTACTTTTACCGTAGACCAACAACTAGCTCTTCTGGCTCTGCTTCAACAACATTCTTTTGCTAATGCCATCCACCAGATACATAGCAGCACTCCCTCCTCATCAGGTACTCTTGACCCAATGTTTCTTTCTTTTAGTTCCATTATTAATACTTGGATTCTGGATACTGGGGCCACAGACCATGTGTGCCACATCAGTTCCTTTTCAGACACCTAATAGAAATAGACATATCCCAATCAAGCTCCCCGATGAAGCTACTATTAAAACTCACCATTCTTGCACTATTCACTTTAACAATGATTTTTATCTTGAGCATGTTTTTTATAATCCTGAAATCCATACTATTTAATCTCTATTCCTAGACTTGCCTTTGCCCTCAAGTGTACCATTCACTTTAACTCTTTTAAATGTTTAATACAGGAGATCCTTACCCTGAAGATGATTGGTACAACTGAGCTTTCCAATGGCCTATACATTCTCACATACCCTTCCATTACCAATAATTCCCATATGCATCATAGGATGAATGATAATAGGATTCAGACTAGTACTTGTAATAACATTGTGAATAATTGTAACTTATGGCATACTCGCCTTGGTCACCCTTCTTACGACACTTTGTTCATATTAATAAAAAATTTCCTTTGAATACTCACTGCAAATCCCCTACTATTTGTGACACATCAACCTTATTTTCTCGCCCCCGTGCGACAGAAAACCTTTTCAAAAAGGACATTGTCTATTATGTTCTAATGCGTATACAAATTAGCGTTTAAACCTTCACCGTGAGTGTGCAAGCCAACTTTTAACCATTAGAATGCGATTTAAACACGTGTTCAATAAAACAAACCAACAAAACATAGTCTTAACCAAGAACTATGTAACTTTGAGTTTCCCATCGCACTTGGGGATCCATATGAGCAAGATTCAATGTCTTGTCAAGCACTATAATAAAAAATCCAAAAATATATTATTTCTAGCTCCGAACTACGAAGCTTTGAGTTCCTCATTATACCTGAGGATACATAGGAGCGAGACCCGCAATCTCGCCAATCACCCTAATAAAAATCATTTGTGCGACCCCTTTTATTTTCCTTTTAAAATTTTGATCACACGAAAAAAAACAACTAACATAAGTTAACATTCAATCGCAAATTACACTAAAAAGTTCGAAAAAATGTACAACAGACGTAAAGGGTGCTAATACCTCTCTTTTGTGTAATCGACTGCCAAACCAAAATTTAGTTGTGACGATCATTTTCTTTATTTTTTTTAAAGATTTTATCAATATTTTTTCTTTCTATTAATTTCTAATTCACCGTGATTGTGATTGTGTCCGTTATATATCTAATTCTATCCATATATAAACTTTATCATACATATTTGTCAAACGGCCTAATACATCTTATGCAATACAAAGCATCGTCAACAAATTGTGATATGAATAACTTCAACATTATGTAAATAAATATGAAAAAAAGTATCAATTTTCTTAAAGAAACATATCAATGATCAAAATCCAACAAATTACACAAACTATAACCTTAAAGAAAAGAAGTTCCTGCTAAACCATGGTGCAGAAGATTATGAGCAATAACATCTCTAGCTTTATAGAAATCAATCAGTATTATTTGTATGATTTATTGTATTTTTATTTTTATTTATATATTAATAAAAAACATTTAAATATAAATATTTTTATTTTTATTTAAAATAAAATTATTATATATTTATTGTTATTTTTATTTTTAACAAAAGAAAAAGTTTATTTTCCATTACTTATTCTCACAATTATAAATTTATTTTAAGGCAAAGTATAAATTACTAAACACAAAATTATATATATTATCTTTTATACGTGTTGGTTCAATAAAAATTTTGTAAAAATTCGAATCAAATGAATCAACCAAAATCACATTGGCTTAATTTAGTTTGGTTTGATTTTATCTTTGAAACTCAACCGAATTGCATATTTTTTTCCTTTTAAGATTCGGATAATCTTTAACATCAAAATCGTTTCGTCAACATCTCAACTCGAAGTAAATTAAAAAAAACCATTAATATTGATGATCTATTTAAAAATGAGAAATTTCTAACTCGAATGAAATAGTTTTGATTATTTAAGACATTTAACTATCTCTAAAAAAAATTATGTAAAATGTCAGAAATTGTTTTGATAAAGTCTTTTAAACCAAATCATTTGACTGATAATTTTTTTGAAAGCCTGCAATTTTTCAAGGCATGATGCACAAAAGAAAGAAAAAAAAAATCTATGATGGTAAATGCAGCATTCAAACCTCTCCTTTACCTTATTAGTCAAACCAATCTTCAATACGAAATTCAATTTCTCTGCAAAAACACGTGCTTTAAAATTCTGATGCAACAACTGTATCAAAATTGATAGTATTCAGATAAACTACAATATAAGAATGAAACAAAATAATATTGTAATTTCATTAACCTCTTATTCTGCTATGAAAATGTATATAAATGAGTTACATATTTGGTTCTAACCATATGTAAACTTTATCATACATATTTGTCAAAGGGCCTAATACATCTTACCTTATACAAAGCCACTTCAACAAATTGCGATATGAATTACTTCAACATTATGTAAATAAACAAGAAAAAATAGTATCAATGTTCTCAAAGAAACATAACAATGATCAAAATCCAACAAATTACACAAACTATAAAGTTTAAAGAAATGAAGTTCCTGCTAAACCATGATGCAGAAGATTATGCGCAATAGCATCTCGAGCTTTCAACGAACTAACCGATCTCATACCAACTTCCGGTACCATTTCATCGTCAACAACATCGACATTAAGTTCCGGATCCATTGTCTCGCCTTTCATCTCGCAGATGTTATGCAGAACACAGCAAGCACCAAGAACAACAGGCAAGTCTTGAAGCTTAACTTCAGTCCTTTTCTGTAAACAACTCCACCTACCTTTCAATCTAGCAAATGCATCCTTAGAAACTTTCTGTATCTCGCCGATTTTCTCGTTAAAACCGTGTTGTGTCCAAGTGAGATTCTGTTGAGTATATGGCACCAAAATCCAATCCATTAGAGGATAACCTGAACTTCCAACAATCCAATTACCTTTAAGAAGTCCTCCATTGTTAGCCCTTTGAAAAAGTGCTGATTTTTCCAGTACTTGATCATCAGGCATTGAACCGGGCCAACCGATACATACATCGGTGAAAACGCCGTTTGTATCAACAACGCCTTGAACTGTAATCGAATACGAAGTTTTCTGATTCCTCTCGGTGTGTCTCTTGTTAAAATAAGCAGCAACACTAATCTTAGGAGCAATGATAGGAACATGTGAAGTATACATCGATCCTACGACATTAGGAATCCCCGAAATTCCCTCGAATTCGGTTTTAATTTTTCGCAAAGAAGCCTCATTAGGCCATTGCAGATACTTAGGCATAAGAACAGTTTTAATAGCAGTGCAAACTTCAAGAACAAGTTTATGACAAGTGGATATACCTAAACCGAATCGCTTCGAAACAATTCTAAGAGGATCACCTGTTGCTAATCTCCATAGACAAACAGCTACTCTTTGTCTCACCGGAATCGCATTCCTCAGAGTTGTGTCTTCTTTCACAATCGCAGAATTCAATTCTTCGCAGATCAAATCGAAAGTCGATTTTCCCATTCTGAAAGCTTTCTTAAACTCATCTTCAGGAAAATCATCCTTGTTACATTCATCCCACCATGCTTTCGAACGATCCTTCACCCAAAGCCTTCTCTGCGAGCCACCCGATTTCGAACCGTTCGTTTCGTTAACACGTTCGCTACTCTCTTCTTCGAAACTCTCACTACATGCAGCAGCAAAAACTACAGAATTCGACATGTTTCGCGTCGTTTTCCTCTTGACTCTCTCCGATTCTTCAACTTGGCTAAAACAATCATCTAGATTAGAGAAATACTCAGACATAGCTTTGGTTTTCTTCTTGTGATTTGTCTCTAACGAGAATTTCTCATCCTCCGAGACTCTTCTGCTGTTATCAATCTCTTGTTTCTCTTGTTCATCCAGTAAGAGAATTGATGTGAGAATACCTTTCAATTCTTCTTTCTTCTTCTTGTTTTCTCCATTGTTGATTGAAACTGAACCTTTATCATCATCTTCATCACCGTCATCAGCACCACCACCTTCATTTTTTCTGCGTCTTTTTCTGATATTGGTAGAACCAGCGCTGTTATTGTTTGGATTATTCATTTGATGAAACGAATTCTGAAGTAAATTGTAAACGTGAGAGAGTGATTCAGGGTCTGCGAAAGTTGGGAGTTTCATAAATACAAGAGAAGATTGAAACTGTTGCTATAGGCTTATAGCTATATCTATATAGAGGTGTTTGGAACAAGAGAAGTTGAGAGGACACAAAAATTTGTTTCTGTGTTGGTTGAATTTTGATGATGTTTTTTAAGGTAAGGTTTATGTGTGTGAATACAAAGTGCGGTGTGAACGCGTAGTTGAAAATTTAGAGAAAATAATGAATAAATAAAAAGATGCGGCGTGAGATTAAATAATGTGGAACAAAGTCTTCGATTAATTAACGTAAATTCAGTGTATGTGAAAGGGATCTAGAACTTTGGTTTGGATATTTTATTTTATTTTTGTTTAGTTGACAGGTCATAGAAAACTGTCATGGGTAATGATTCTTTTTTCATTAAAAATTACTACTACTATAACTCAAACTCATTGTTTTTTTTGTTTTTTTTCAGAATTTTTTTTATTATTTTATATTATATATTTTCCATAAATGTTTTTTAAAAATAATTTTATTAATATTTTATATTATAAGAAAATAAAAAAATTGACAAAAATTAAATTTAAACTAATAATTTTTATAATTTAATTGGTATGCTCAGTATAAAATTACACTCATGTATCCTGTCACATTAATTTTAAATTAATAGTATGATATGACAGATTGATACATTTCTATTAAATGACAGTGTAAAATTATTTTGCACGGTGAGAATATAACAATTAAACTCTAATTTTTATAATATTTAATTTAATAGGTAATGAAATTTTTTAAAATGAAACAATATTATAAAAGATTTCATCTACTAGATTGTTTGATAAAAATATATAATTTTAAGAGTCTAGAGTTATTTTTAATATTAACTTTTTGTATTTAAAAATAAAGTAGCAATATTTGTTGATTTTTATTTTGCTTAAAATTGTTGATACATTCTAGAAAATGATATTTAGGTATATTTTATTTTCTCAAATGGTCCTTATGAGATGTATTTATGTAATATTTTATGAGTTTATAATTTGGTTTGGATATTTATTTTCTTTTTGTTTAATATAATTGACAGGTCATAGAAAACTGTCATTGGTAGTGATTATTTATTTAATTAAAAATTACTAATAACTCAAAGTCATTGTTTTCTAATTCTTTGTTCATTTTGTTTTCAGAGATAATATTTTTATTATTTTAAATTATGTAACCTTTATAAATATTTTTGAAAAAAATTTGTTAATTTATTAATATGTTATAAAAATATACATAAAAATATTTTTGAACTTGAATCAATAACTTAAATATAATTTAACTTAATTATAACATATTAGTTAAACTACATCCACATTTGAATCTATCCTAAATATAATTTAATTGATAGTTGAAGAAATATTTGATAGAAACAACAATGAGTTTGAATATGTGATTTTCCTACTAGACTTATTAATTAAGAAAATAACAGTTGCTGATTTATAAATAGTAATAATTTATTTATAATAATACATCAATATAAATAAATAATGAAAAAAAAATGCACCGATAATATTTACACTATCAATCAATTACAATGATGTATTAAAATAAAATATATTTTTATTTTTAAAATATTAATATTACATAATAATTATAGACCTTTTAATTAATTATATATGTACAATTATCACACTGACAACGCACTCTTCTAAACCTATAAATAATATTGTCAAAAATAAAATTTTAAATAAACAAGTTATACTCATTTAACTTTAAACAAATATGTTTAAATATATTAGTTGAGTGTCTTCACCGATTCATTAGATTATTTATAAAAGATACAATTTTTTTATTGTTTTAATATTAACTTTTTATCTTTTAAAATGAATTAGCATGATTTTTTTAATTACTTAAAATTGATGATACATTCTAGAAAATAATATTTAGGGGTATTTTATTTTCTTAAATAGTACTTATTAGATGTATTTATGTAATATTTTATGACTTTAAAATTATTCAATAATTTTAATCTACATATTTGACCGATAATTATTGGTATTATTTAGGAAAATTTCTACCATTATTTATAAAGAATTATATTTTATTTTTTAATCCTATTTTTTTAATGTAAAAAATACTGAACTTTTTTGTCATGTATCCATGATATTTTATATTTAAGTATTAAGATGATTTATAATAATAAGTAAATATGATCTATTAATTAAATAGTAAAACACCATTTTAGTGTTAATTTTCTTTTTCTAATATTTAATTACTACCTACATTCCTTTCTAATAATTTTTTTAATGTACCATTTTTAAAGTTTGAAATGTATTAATTATTATTTTATCAAATTTTATCACAATAACTTTTTTTTACAATCACAGGAAAATATTACATAGAGATAAATGCGTGAAATAAGATGAAAAGTATACAATGATATTATAAAAAATGCAAAGGTTAAAAATAATACGTGATAATTTCTGGTGTTTAAGGGTTGTCAGAGGCTTTTAAAATTTGTTGTGAGGTTGGATTTAACGCACACTGGAAGGTGAGAATGGCTATCTATGGTGTTATTCAACCTTGGGGTTGAGATATTTATAAAAATCATTGGGTATGAATCTCAAACTCGCAAAAAATAGCAATTGTTTCTAAGAGGGGGTAGTTAACTCCTCTATTATTGAAGAGGATGTGATATTATGTTTGAGTTCCTCTCAAGTACCATTATGGACTGGGACACATTACTTCACATTCCATAAACATGTGTGTAATCTAGGAACTGAGAGGCATAACCAAGAAATAGATGTTGCTCCTATAAATAGACGGTTGGGAGGCAAGCACGAATGACATGTCATGTCCTCCTCCTTTAGTGAACGTTCTATGCTGCCTCTTGTGAGTCATTTATAAATATATCAATACACATCCTCTCAAGCATGATAACTTGGAAAGAGCCAAGTGATTTAGTTAGTCTTCCCCTTTTTTATCTGGACTAGTCCCTCGGGCATGGGGCGAGTCTCTTTTCTTTTAATTATTGGGATGCCTAGAGGGATGTTGTAGATTACCGCTACGACTTAACTTTCCCTTCCTATAAAAGGACATAAAGTATCCATCATTTAACCTTTTTTGCATTGTCCTCTTCCAAGCTTTCATCTATTTTCTTAAGAGTTCTTACAAGCATAAAGTGCACTCGTTTTACAAGTTCTTGACTATGTTTGCAGATATGATTATATTCTAAATTCTTTGTCTCTATTCTTAATGGTTATTGTTAAGATCTTAGAACTTTTAAGGTGTAGTTGTGCACCAATGTCGTGGATTAGACCTTTAAGAACCATGAGAACCCTGGTAGTTTTGATATGGATTATCTTGCTCTTCCTATTTTTATGACGAATCAATGGAGGAGACATATGCTAAATGTTTCAATGTCAAAGAATTCAAGTCTCAATACTCTAATGAGGAGAGTATCGTTGCTTTTTGGCTGAAAATTAAACTTTTCAACACTGAGCAAGGCCAAGATGGATCGTGTAACACCCTACTTTTCGACTCGACAAATAATTAAATAAAACATAAATCTATCAAGTAGAATGTTACTCAACAACAAACAACTCACATTTGAACCACGCAATTGAAAATTTAAATCACTTGATAAGCAGAAAAAATATGAAATAATTGTCATCGGAGCTTTGCTATGATTTTTGTGTTTTCTAGGGTCAAAATCGGAGCTTTGAAAGTGCTCCAATGGAGAAAACACAGAAACCTGCATTCTGCACAACGGTGACGAGCCAATTGTCATTGCGTTGGGATAAGATGATGGACGTCAGTAAGGTGATGGACTGACCGTCATGTCCTCAGGGACGACCTCTTTATCCAGGCGTGAGCATGATGGAGGTTTTGTGAGGAAGAGAGGTGACGGGAAGGTGTGACAGTCGTCGTGCTTGAAAGGCTGGTTGTCAGCCCTTGTTTAATCGATTTTGGGTTGTTGACTCAATTTTTCGAGTGGATTCTATTTTTGAGGTTTATTTGACGATGTTGTGATGAGTATTGATGAGTATTGTTAAGAAACTATATAATTTAATTATTATGCTGAGTTATGATAAAAGTGTTGAGTTATGTTGAAATGTTTAGTTCAAAGAGGAACCCTTGTTATGGCCTTGTATTGTCGATGTTCGTGCTGAGTTTTAGGTTCAGGGAGGAACCAGTGACGAGTATTAGAGTTAGAGGTTTCAGACGGTATTGCATTTATTTGTTGCATTCATGCATCATGTATATCAGATATAAGTAGGACTTTGGTTTAATGACGAGTTAAGACTTCGATCCAATGACGAGTCTTAGATTTAGAAACGAACCAGTGACGAGGTTCATGGTTTAGAGAGAAACCAGTGACGAGTGGATAAATCAGTAACATACTTCTAATATATATGTTAGACGATAGGCTTCGATCTAGAATAGGTGAATAGATCACAAATTTAAAACCAAAACTATTGGCAAAATTTTGTTTTAAAAAATTTATGGCACAATGGAAACAACCTGAATCGAATCGTCTAACTGAACCCACTATCAAAAAGATCATATATGCGTAATGAAAACCGACAGGATGATAATGAACACAAATTGTTCAACAACGATTAGTTCACGGATCAATCAAATGCAAAGTTGTTCGTAACACATATTTTCAATGAACACAAAGAGATAAAAATACTCAAAGACAATTTATCGAACACTTTGGGTGCAATCGATCACGTTTGGAAATTCAATTTGCGTTATTGATGTTAAAGCCAGTCACAATCAAAGTAGTTATGATTATATAAAAAATAACACTTTAAAAGATGGTTGAAAACAATTTCCAATCAAGTTAATCGAAACAACAACGATATTGATATATATATATATATATATATATATATATATATATATATATATATATATATATATATATATATATATATATATATATATATATATATATATATATATATATATATATATATATATATATATAGAGAGAGAGAGAGAGAGAGAGAGAGAGAGAGAGAGACACACACACACACGCACACACACAAAGATTTGT